ATTTCAATGAAATGTAGTGGTCTATGATAATGCGAAAACTAAATCCCCCTCTAATTAACATATTTATGAAGACAAGTCTGACGCCGGGACCCATTCCATTTCCATGTTTATAGCATTTCACCGAGCATTTCAGTGGATATGTAATGCAATAAAACACTTGGAGCTTATTTACACCATAAATTAACTGTTATATCACTAGAGTTGGTGTGAATCATGGTCATAAAATTGTACAGTAATTCAGGATTGTCAGATGGAGTAATACTGTACAATGAAAGACACAGCTTTTGCAAAATAAAATTGATAGAAGTCTTTGGGAATTTTGTCAATCCAATCAGTTGCTTTGTCAAGATAAAAAAAGTAGGTAGTAGAAGACAAGTGCGTAGTAAAATTAGGACAATAATAATAATTAAAGGTAATGATTTAAAGTGCATAGATGAAATTATTTATTTATTTGGTTTGAGGCTTTTGTTATTCATGTTATTTACTTTGGAGGAGAGGGAAATATTGTACTATTTTTCTGCCATGAATGCTTTCCTACCATGACAAACTACTTAAAGTCTTTGAAATATCGAAAGTTGATTAGGAAAGTCTTTTCCCCAAGGAGACTGGGCTATCTCCACCCCTGAGGGCTTTCATACCTTGACTTTGTAAAGCCTTGAACGCCTGAGTTTAATCCTGTGGTTGAGCCTTCTCAGGGCAGGGGCTGGGACTACCCACGTCCCTAGCACACTGTGGTAGCCTGTGATCCTTTGATCATTTGTCTTAAGCTTTTTATATCAGATGGCAAAATAATCCTTAAGGATGACAGTCTGGAAGGTAGTTGTGATTCTTGTTCATGATTGTGACTCTGTCAGCTGTAAAGTCAAGTGCTGTATAGGTTTAAACAGCATCAAAATGATACATGGTGCCACATCCCTATGGTCCTTAATCCCCCATACCAAAATCATGGACTATCAAAGAGCAAGAATGTATTTACCTGTTGGTGAATGATTAAATTATTATCTGTCAACTGAGATGAACTGAGTACAAAGGCTGTCTCATAGCCTGTGGCAAATAGAAAAGAGAAATATGTTCATTGACACCACTGAGGAAGTTTATTTGATTAGTGTGATACCTGGGGACAGTTTACTTTTATTTCTCTGAAACATGGCTCAACAAACTATTTTTTCTTTTTACAGATTCTGACACTATTTACTTTCAAGGCATTCAATGTTATGCTGTTACAGAGAGCCTTAAAAGCAAAAACTCGTGTACAATATGGGGCATAAGGAAGGCATAGCATAGCTTAGTTTTTAAGGAGAGTATCTTCTCTTATCAACTGAAAAGTGGAAGATTAGACTACTGGGGTGAGGAATACTGAAAATCACTCAGGAATCTGGTGAACAGCAATGTGACTTTCTTGGCTTTGCTGGAGTGGGTGTCCTTCCTTCAAAGGAAAGGTAGTGCAAATGGAGAGAAGGTCTTGTCCCTTCCTAGATGGCAAATCATTGGCTTTTTTTTCCCACTCTGCCTTATAAAGCCAGGACTGATGTCTCATGGCAGCACCTTTCCTAGTGCAATACAGGGGAGATGGATGCTTATTTTCTCACTTCCACCAGGCCTCAGCAATCATTTTTGCTTAACTCTGGCTGCACTGAGAGTTGTCTGCACTCACAGATGCTCATCGGGATTGACACCTGGAAAAGAAAACATGGGAAAACAAGTATAAAACGTATCAGCTTCTTTACTCATCCTTTTGTACAGTCTCCTAGAAGCAAGAGTAATTTGAGATAGAGTTTGAATTTCTTGGTGATTGCCCTGCTAATTCATAATAAATTGTACTTAAAGTGTACAGGGCTACATGACCATGTAAGAGTAAATTCTGGCTTGAACCTATTTCATATAAACTGTTCATCCATGGGGCAACAACTTATCAAGGCATCAGTCTCTGGTTGTTGGATCGGTCAGCACCAAGAAGAGCAGAGCAGAAGATATACTTATTGTAGTTGTGAGGTGCATTTTGTGGAAATGGTATGTGGCTGAGCTTTTGCTCTGTAGTAAGAACAACAACAACAAAACTAAGGAAACTTACAGCCGGGAGCTACTTAAATGAAAATGTTGAAAAGTTCAGTTTCGTTACATAAACATTGTGGGGTTTTACTTGCTTCTTGTTGTGCATCTTTTCTTACAACTTCTAGCTTAGGAAGTGGTTTGGGTTTCTGTGGGTTTTTTGGGATGTGTTTTTTGTTGTTGTTGTGGTTGTTGTTTAATTTTCACAGAGTTATTTGCTGGGCCAATTGAATGCAAAGTGAGCTAGACAGAAAATGAGTCTGGCTTATGTATTTCTCCATCACTCTGGAAGAAAGTGTTCATGTTGTTCATTAATGATATTGTACAGATGAGGACAAAGAAAGATTTAAAGTTTCTTAATATATTTTTTTCTTCCTTACTTTCTTTGGCTTTCCAAAAATGCCTCTTAGTCCCACTTTTAGAAGAACATTGCTCCAATATCTCTCTGTTCATTCAGTGTTCTGCTTATAAATTAAGTTATTCATATAATTTAATCCTATAATGATCACAGTTCTCATGTCCTTTGCAAAGCTATTTGCATCCAATCAAAACAGAAGAGTGCTTTATAATTACTGACACTGGTAAGAGAATTGGATCATCACAGGCCATCTCAGGGCTGTGTCTTTCATCTTGAGGATCAGAGGCTTCTCTGTGTTTAAGTGCAGAATTACGTAGGTTGGTGCTCTCATGCCGAATAAAATTCTTTACTTTCTCAACTGCACTAAGTGGAGGATTGGAGAATTTGCTTCTCATATTCATCTGCAGTAATTTTCTTTCACAAAATCATTGAGACCTCACTGGAAGGTGAATTGTTAGTAACATCTAGTGCTCAAAACACATTCTGAGAATCAATCTGTAAAAATCATGATCAATGAGTAGTTAACATAAACCAAAGCTAAGTCTGACTGTAAAATTATAATAAACAGCCAACTGCTTATCCCTATAACTGGAAAATTCCTTGCTAAGTTTCTTATTATAATGTGAAAACCAATTGTTTAAACTATCATCAGTCTTTAAATCCTGGATCCAGAAAGTAGGAGTAAAGGCAAATTGCTGTATAAGAGCTAAAAATATCACTTTCCTTTGTCCTTCTTTATAGTGAATTTTAACAGGAGAAAACTTCAAATGTTATTTTCTAGTAGGCCTCATTCAGTTTCAAATCTCTGTGATTCCAAAGCTATGCTGTTCAAGCTTTATTGGGTGCATCCACTACCAAACTGACACTTCTTGTAACTACACGTCTATAGTAGTTTTACACTCAGAACATTGCTGTGCAAAATAATTCTCTCTGATAATCTGAATTTAAATGTGTATGGTTTGCAGAAGCAGAGAATGCCTATTAGAAGAAGATTACAGTTCACCCCCTGCAGGGCGAACCTTCCCATTGCAACACAGCAAGAAAGATAGAAAAGTCCATATGCAGAGAAACATATTTTTAGCATTTCTTGTAGCTGATTAAGTTTACAAATTGACTTGGTATTTTAAAGGGTCGTATTCTATCTTATCATGAGAAGAAACAGACATACTGAATGGCTACGTACTGTGCTGTACAATTGCACTCCTAAGAGTACCCCAAGTGTGCAAACCAACTGCAGAATCTGACCCACAGACTTGCCCTTCATGCTTCCTGCCCGAGATCGAAGAAGACAGATGAAATTTCATGTGAAATTCACTATTCAATGTATATTTTATTGTGTACAAGAGACACATATGAGTCAAGCCATGTTTATTAAGCTACATAATAGGTGGCACAGATTTCAAGGAACCTCTTATAGCAGGCAGAGGGGATCTCTCATTCTAGGTTAAGGGCTACACTGGCTTTAAGAAGAAGCGATAGGAATTGAATGACAGGTATTTGTTAATATGTACTTTTCTTCTTTTCTATCTTTTTTATTCTTTAATTTGGGCATCGTATACAGCAGTGCGTTAAACAACTCTACTTCTGTCTGGAGTCTATTTGGTGGGAGTAATTTCTGTGGTGCTTTGATGTAATCTTTTGATAGCCCTGTGCTCATATGCTGCTAATAGCTCTGCTACATTTAAAAAAATTAATATTTTTTATTCAGTTTGTAAAACTAGATACCTATATATGGAAAAAATGGCAGTGCTTCATTTGGTTTCTTACTGCTTTGCATATTTTGTTTGTCATGTCTTTGTTAAGAATTTCTTGCAGTGGAGCAATTCTTGTTATATTATTGAATACAGTGAGACGTAGATGGTTTTGAAAGCAATTGATTTCATGAATAAGGATATCACTTATCATTTAGTGTATTAACATGAAATTGCATTCTCCTCTTGATTCATTCGGTGCATACGTTATGAAAAAAACAGTCTTTGGGGTCTACAGGATTTGAGTCTTATTAGTTTTTATGTTACATAATTTAATTTCACAACAGCAGTTCTCACAGGCTAGGAACACAAAGCCTATATTGTATTTAAACATACTGTCATATCCTCAGTGCAGTCATAAGTCTGTGGAAACAGCATAGGCCTTGGTGCTTTAAGGAAAGGCTAAAGAAACAGGACTTATCACTGCAAGTGCCACTAGTTGCGTGATCTGTTACATCTTTCTGGTCATTGCCCGAGAATAAGCTACCTCTCCTTTGCTGATTATGCAATATTATATTTACGGGATGGAGGGAAAGGGAATGAAAAGGTACTCTTGTAAATGTGTTTACAACTTGAGTATTTACCTCAATGACTCTCTTGTCCTTATTCAGTGATCTATGAGTTCCTCTTATTAGGATCATTGCATCTTTCACAATGTTTCTGTTTCGCATAAAACAGGTTATATATAGTGTGTTTGTTCAATAATGCTTCACATAGAAAGTCAGGGAAATGACCTTTGCAGAATAAAGTAAAGTATTAGTTGAATAATGAAGGAGAGCATTAAAAGATTTTGAGATACTTGCAAAACAAATTATTAAAACATTTTTTTAATTTCTTTATAGATTCTGGACAACCAGGAAGTCCAAGCCACAATGATCCTGCCAAGAATCCACCAGGTAAATATAAGTTCCAGAACATGTGCATCTAAGATTGTTTGAGAACAAAGATACTATTGTTAATAGCTAAAGAGAGCATAATCGGTCAGCAACCTATTTTGCACTGGTAAGTATTTATAATCAAGACAAGCTGCAATTATTTTAGTTCTTTTAAACTGGCAGTGCCTCAATTGCAGTTTCATCAACATTCATTTAATCTAAGGAATTTTTCTTTAATTTCATGGGGTTTAGAATTTTCCAAGTGGAGATGGGTAGAGGAGTAAGGAGACAAGATCCCAAATAACTTTAATTTTATAGAAGTCTTCAAATGATACAATTTTTCTTATATCTCAATAAAATGCAATTCACCTACTTCTAAAGTCTGTGATATGAGCTATAAGGTTTTTTACTTTTTACATGTGCTTTATAGAATGCAAATATGTTAATTTAAAAATATTTTTTGTATCAGCTCAGAGCAGTTTTTGAACATGTTAATGGGTCACAGTAGTGACAGCTGGAATTTCTTTGAGAGAGATGTCTTAGTAAATGGTCCTTTCAATTATTCTAACATAAAAATTCAAGAGAAAATCAAACTCAGACTTCATCATTCCAGTCTGTTTAGACAAAAGTTTCATTGTATTTTCATGAAATTATCCTTCTCATCAATTGGGTTGTGCTAGTAAATCTTGTAAATCTTTGCCATGTTATGAATTTTATCAGGGTAAGACACGTGACAGATGCACTATCACTTCTTAATGAGAAAGGAGTGACTCCTGCCACCACCATCATGCTACATCATCTCATTTTAGCTCTCAAAAGATGTGTGTATCTGAAATAAGCTGCAACTAACTGAGTTTGCTGTTTTTCTAAATGCCAAATGAACTATAGTCTGACCAGGAAGTAATTGTGTGATGCTGGGCTGTTGCATATACAGGGATATTTTCTGGTTCTATTCAAACATTATGGAAAGCAACCTTCCTTGTGGCTATACAGTTTTATACTATGCATACAATCAAAATATACTCTACTTGTGAAATATACCATGCATGTTGCATGTGAATACCCAAAAGTGGGAGAACTATCATAGATCATTATACAAAAAGCCATGTTCCTGTAATATAAACCCCAGATACATACACTTGAAGATTGCAGATATATTTTAGAGATAAGAGGGCAAAACAAGTCAAATAAAACAATTACGAGCTCTTTTTCAAATGATTTTTTTTCTTCAAGAAGTGATGTACGCTTGGTATCACTTCTGCTTGGAGAGTTGGATGCTGTTTCTTTCCAAACTGTGTGCACTGTTAAGAGTAGACTTTTATTTTTCTGTTAAATACATGCCATAAATTATGTAGAATAGTGGTTTAAAAACCCAATGCAGCAAATTTACACCTAAAACAAGTCTGAAAAATTTCCTCATGGATAATTACATTTTTTTGAAACTTGGAGCATTTAGCTGTAGAGCATTTAATTTTGTTTTAGAGTATCTCTGTTTGTGAGTGCAAGAAAAGCCAAATGCATTACCCTACCCCTTGTCATTTTGAAGGATCCTTTGTAGCTGCTGCCTTTGGGAAGCTGAAGGCAGGGTTTGGAAACCTTTAATATATTTTAAAATTCTGTTTTTAAAGTACCATTTAATATTTGGACGGGGAAGGTAGAACTATGTATTTTACTAGTGAAGATCACATCCTGTAGTGAGTCCAGTCTCTCCACTCCTCATTCTTAAGTCTGGTGAGGAGTAATCTTGCTGCCAGCAACAGAGGCCTGGGGAGGGCAGCAGACAAGCTGTATAGGCTTTCTCAGCAGACTTGGGGGTCAATACCTAATGTTTGACAAACTTTAGTGTCTCAGAAGACAGAGGGACATAGAAAGCAGAGAAATATGTTGCTGATTGCATCATGAAACTTCCTGCTTAAAAATAAGAGTGTAACACTTTCTCATGATTTGGACTCACTGCTGCCAGAATTATTCCTTTATCTGCTGCCAAGGGGGGACAGAAAATGAAAACTGTGCCTTGCTACCCTTGAAACCCTTCATTTAAGCAGAGACAGAGGCATAATTGAATGTCGTCTCCCAGAGCATACAGGACTTTCTAGCCTTGTTCATCTTGCCTGTGTGATACCGTCTTGGAGTTAAATTGGCAAGGTTTAATTGAGGTGTTTAGTGTTGAGATTTGTGGGACAGCAGAACACAGGACTTGTAGGGCTGTGCAGGAGAACAAGGGGGAATTGAACTCCATTCAACTGGTCTAGGAAAAGGGCTACTGTCCCGTTCTTTCTTACGAAACTTCACGTGATTCTTATTATTAGAGCCAGACAATCACTTCTATCAGAACCCCAGAAGATATCCACTCTGAAGTTTGTTTTCAGTCCCAGGCCAGGAGCATGTGGACTGGTAGTGCTGGGAGGGTTTGTTCTTCTATCATGTTTTGTTGTAGTGCCTGTGTGGCATGGAACCAGGGTGCTGGCAGGGGATATGTACTGTTAGCTTTCAGATGCCATCACCTTCAAAAAGATATTGCCATGGAAGAGAATGTTGGAAACTGAATGGTAGTTGGCAAAGCTGCTAGTGTTAAAAGTGTTTTTTTTCTAGGTTTGGCTAGACTGTTGCTTTCTTTAGGGTGTCTGGTAATTTGCTGTCCTAACCACGGAGAGAGGGTAATGTCACTTGCCAAACAAAAGAGCATTAAGGGCACTTAACTGATAGCCCAATACAGTATTAAGATGGTGTAGCTTGTGGTGAAAGTGGCATGTAGCTTTTGTAACTAAATCCAGGGGTATACTCCCCTTAGTTTTATTTTTCAATTACTTTTATCTGATGTATTTTTAAAGAATTAATCTTGTTTTTCGAAGAGGTGTGTTGTAAAGATTGTCTCTCTGCAGGGATTATTAAGTAAATTCCAGACAGATAAATGAGCTGATTTGAACTGAGAAAGGAGAAGAATCTGAACACTACCGTTGTTACATTGGCCATTAAGTTCCTGATACCTAAAAGTTTGTATTATGCTATCACAGTTCTAACTATTAAAAGTTTACATGATCTAAAAGAGAGAATAAACATGTCCATGGATCCACTGATGGTGACTGAACAGATGGAGGGACGCCTGGATTAATAAATTTTAAAACTGAAAATACTTATAGCTTTGCAAACTATCAATAAAAGCAAACAACAACAAAAACTCAAAAGCAACCCAAGTACTTCAGGCCTGCCTTGTTTCTTAACATTCTACTGGGCATCTGCTCAGACCTACTGCTGAAGCCCGCTGTTTGATTATGGAAACTTAGAGTGGCAATTTCCGTGTAATGCTGCATTATTATTTGCTCCTGCAAGTCTCATAGGTTTTGTGTGTAGCTTAAGAAAAATCTAAAAAAAGAGCCTTCTCATACGTGTCTTGAAATACCTGCAGTGGTGTGGCAGGATATGTCCTGAAGACAGAATATGTGATCTTTCAGTAAGTTCACCTGTTTGGCCTAAGAAAATTATGACAAAGAGTAAAAATAGAAAAATATCTAGAACTACAAGTAAGCTAATGATATTGACACCTTCCATAACAATTCGGTCTCCAGACATACAGTTCTTACTGACTAGTTCTTCTAGTTGAGGATTTTCCGAGTTTTGTTTTACTTTATTATTCTTTTCCTTACTGCCTGCTGGCCACAACTGTTTGACATTAATAAGATTCTTATTGTTTGCCATTGATTTGAGGTTGCTGCTTGGCAGACTTGATTTATTTATTATACATCAGTGTTAACATGCCTGTGTCCAGTTGTTACCTTGTTGCTCAAATCTTTGAACAGCATTTTTAAGCTACTAAAATAAGAGTAAGAAATAACAATACTGATAGAGTAAAAAGCTATCTTGATAGGAAAATAAAGAGACTCAATTAAAGAAGGTGTTGCCAAAAAGCTTGCAACCAGATGCATTTTGTACAGGTGCCTTCAAGATTTTGGAGCTATTCTTGTCCAACATTGGGGAATACAAAAAAAAGTGCAAAGGAAATGTAGCCATCCTGACACAGACAGCTATGAGCCTTGCTGGTGAGGGAAGAAAAGCGTGTTTAGATTTTTCCTTTCCTCCAAGCAGTTGAGTTCAGAGGTTATTAACTTATTAGGTTATATATTTCCTATGCTAATTTTTTTGGTTGGTTGGTTGGGTTTTTTCTCCTGATAGAACTTATTCCACTTCAGGTGGTTTAAGGAATATTTGCATATGAATTTTGCAGACTCTATAAGATCAGTCAGGGCTGAATGAGAAATGCAGAGGACTTAGGTTTGAGCCTTTGTGCTGATGAATATTAAATTATTTATATGGGGTGACACACTTTTAGACAAAGAGATTGAGAAGCTGTCTCTTTGGCTCTTTGCCTTTCATTCCCTCTCACTGCTTCCCTTCTTTCCTCCACAGTAGCCCATGATACATTGTCAGGGAGTTTGCCTAGAGATAAAATCCTTAATCTAAGTGAAACACAGGTAGGTGAATTCCCAGCCCCAGCCTCACTGCTCTGAAATTGGTTTTACCCTTCTGTTTTCACTAGAAATTTTGTTCTTGGAACCACTTCCAAAGAAGACCTGAGTGATATAACCATCTCTGAAGATTAGTTTAGTTTTATTTTTTAGTTAAAGAAAGTGTTGCCAAAAAGCTTGCCATAAGCCTCATGTATCTCTCAATATGCAAATCTGTCTTGCAGCTGTAGAGCCCCAAAGGGTTTTTTTGCTGTTTCATATGGGATAGCAGCCATAGGGAGAACATTCTTTTTGGATCATGCCTTAAGAATTGTGCAATAAATTTATCTATATATGACTGTTTCAGGTAGATATATTTCAGTTTTAAGTTTTAGAATGCATAGTTTCAGAAATAACCTCTGTAGACTAGTGTAGTCTCAACCTTTGCACTCTCGGAAATGCAATAAGGAAATGTCGTAGGTTTTGAATGACTCAGACCGCAGATGGTTTCATTATTTTACTGTATTGCAAGTTACCCTCTTGTGGATGGGGAGTTAGCCCATAGGAATAGGAATAATA